TATCTCCTTCTCTCTGCATATCTATCTTTCTAATAAAATAAATAAATAAATAAATAAATTTTTTAAAAAAACAAAATTAAAAAGGTAGGGCCAGTATTGTGACAAAGTAAGTAAGGTCACAGCCTACGGCAAAGGCATCTTATGTAGATGACACTCTGTGTTCTGGCTGCTCTACTTCCAATCCAGCTCCCTGTTCATAGCCTGGGAAAGAGCCGAAGGATGGCCCAAAGCCTTGGAACCCATGGAAGATGTGGAAGGAGCTCCTGGCTCCTGGCTTCAGATTAGCTCAGCTGCAGTTGTGGTAGCCATTTTGGGAATGAACCAGCGGACAGAAGAGCTTTCCCTCTATTTCTTCCTGTGTAAATCTGCCTTTATAATAAAAATAAATAATTAAATCTTTTTAAAAATATTCATTTCAGCCCAGTGTGATGGCTTAGTGGCTAAATTCTTACCTTGCATCCATCAGGAACCCATATGGGCACTGGTTCACGTCCCAGCTGCTCCACTTCCCATCTAGCTCCCTGGTTGTTGCCTGGGAAGGCAGTGGAGGCTGACCCAAGGCCTTGGGATCCTGTACCCACATGGGATCCCCAGAAGGGGCTCCTGGCTTCAGATCAGCTCAGCTCTGGCCATTGAGCCCACTTGGGGAGTGAACCAGGGGATGGAAGACCTTTCTGTAGATTTGCCTTTCCAATAAAAATACATAAATCTTTTTGTTTAAAAAATCACTTATTTCAAAGTTACAGAGAGGGAGATACAAAGAAAAAAATCTCCCATCCTTTGGTACATTCCCCAGATGGCAATAACAGCTAGAATGAAGTCAAGCTAAAGCCAGCCACAGGAAATTCTTCAGGGTCTGCCCACATGGGTACAGGGACCCAAGATCCTGGGTCATCTTGCACTGCCTTCTCAGGTACCTTAGCAGGAAGCTGAATCAGAACAGCAGCAGGACTTGCCCCAGAGCCTATATGGGTCGCTGGCATTGCCCGGAATGCCAAAACATCAGGCCCCAGAAGGCAACATTTAAAAATGAGTTACTTGGGTCTGGTACAGTAGCCTAGCAGCTAAGATCATCACCTTGCATGTGCTATGATCCCATATGGGTGCCAGTTCTAATCCCGGCAGCTCCGCTTCCCATCCAGCTCCCTGCTCATGGCCTGGGAAAGCAGCTAAGGACAGCCCAAGGCCTTGGGACCCTGTACCCGTGTGGAGATGTGGAAGAGGCTCCTGGCTCCCAACTTCAGATCGGCATAGCATCGGCCGTTGCGCTCACTTGGGGAGTGAATCACAGACAGAAGATTTTTCTCTCCGTCTCTCCTCCTCTCTATATATCTGGCTTTCCAATAAAAATAAAACATAAATCTTTTTTAAAAAATGAATCACTTGGGCCCGGCAGCGTGGCCTAGCAGCTAAAGTCCTCGCCTTGAACGCGCCGGGATCCCATATGGACGCCGGTTCTAGTCCCAGCAGCTCCACTTGCCATCCAGCTCCCTGCTTGTGGCCTGGGAAAGCAATCAAGGAAGGCCCAAAGCTTTGGGAGCCTGCACCCATGTGGGATACTCGGAAAAAGTTCCTGGCTCCTGGCTTTGGATCAGCATAGCATCAGCCGTTGCGCTCACTTGGGGAGTGAATCATCGGATGGAAGATCTTCCTCTCTTTCCAATAAATAAATCTTTTAAAAAAAAATGAATCACTTATCAGAACTTAAAAGTGCCTTCTTTGATTTTTTTTGAGATTTATCCATTTTTATTTGGAAAACCCAATTTTTAGGGAGAAGGAGGGACAGAGAGGAAAGATCTACCATCCACTGGTTCAACCCCCAAAGGGCAGTAACTTCTGGAGCTGGAGCTGATCCAAAGCCAGGAGCCAAGAACTTCTTCTGGGTCTCCCACATGGGTGCAGGGTCCCAAGGCCCTGGGCCATCCTCGACTGCTTTCCCAGGCCACAAACCAGATGGGGAGTAGGGAAGCTGGGATCTGAACTGGTGCCCACATGAGATCCCAGCAAATGCAAGGCAAGGACTCTAGCCACTAGGCCACCATACCGGGCCCTCTTTGATATCTTTTTAAAGATATTTTTCATGATGATTTTTTCTTAACTCCAGAATAACAGACTCATTTCCAGCGAAACCAACAACAGAATTCATATTTTTCTCTTGTAAATGAATACTGTGTTTTTGTTTTTCCTCCAAGAAACAATAGCATCTGTATCTCTGGTACCCTTATCAAGAGATATGTGACAAAGTATGCTAGCCTGCCAACTAGTATCAAGAAGAGAGCTGTCTCTATTAGCCAGTTAGATGGCGGTGCTTCGCGCTCCACCTAAAACTTCCCAGCAAGGAGCAGGCTCCTCCTTATCGGATGTGGATAGGAGGCTGCTGGGGAACGCCGATTCCCTCCCACTGCAGCCTGGGAAAAGCTCCGTCTTGACAGGCCCACACAATCACTTCTGAGAACTTCAGAGCAGCTGTGTGCCGGCAGGGCGAGGGACTTTACGGAGGCACAGGAGGCGCACTAAGAGTTGGGTGAAAAAAACAATCTTCATTTTGGGTTAAGAGTGAGCAAAGAAGACTATGACACAGCTACAGTAGCCAGCAGTATTTTAAAATCATGGTAAACCAAAACATTTCAGAATTCCAACACGAATGCTATCACAAGGTGCAAGCTCTGATCCACAGGTTGGAAAATGAGCAGCTCTTTCTCTCGTTTTCTGCTAAGCGGCAAAAGTCATGAGAAAAACAAAATCTCGCATTTACCAGTGCCCAAGCCAAAGCCATCACAAACTCCAAAAGGAGAGACCAAAACATGGGACTTTGCTCTCTCGCTGGATTTTTTTTTGGTACTGCTGCCAAGCAAACTGTGAAAATGTTCTGAATGTTTAGTAGCAATGCTCTTGATGTGAAACACTGGAGCCCAACTCAGTAGTTAATGCTAAGAGGTCAGTCATTAATTGGCCTCAATTGTGCTGGGGGAAGAGGAACCACTTCCTACCAGGAGAAGTTTGAACTGGCTGCTGAAAATTAAAGGCTAATACAAAACTACAGACTCTGGTTTCTCTTCATATTTAAGACCTTTACTGCTATTTCAGATAATATTTTACTTCTCAGAAGTAAAAGTAGAGAAGGAATATAAAGGGGAAAAAATCTGTGCAATAGCAAAGAAGTATTTGGCTCTATTAGTTATCTCGTTATTAAATGATACATAAAGGGCCACGGTCTGTCCTTTTTCTGTATAGAACTAAGAACAAACTGGTAAGACTACTCAGTATTGCTGCCAAACTTTTCTTTATATCTTTTCTTGCAGACACGTTACATTTCGCAATAGCCTCCACTTACCTTACATCCTCCATGTTTAAGTACAAATTGTGTTTGATTTCCCAAACCCTCACCCTAAGATATTATGACATATCTTCAGTTTCGGAGCCTGAACACAAAGGAAGAAACAGAAATTTCCACTTTCCTGAAATACGCGCCTATTTTCTTCACACCACTAACATATATATAAAAATAAATGAAAAACGAACTGCAGCCAGGCATTTAACAACTCCTCAAGAATGCGCCAAGAAGACACTTTCAACAAAATAAACTTAATGTTAGTGGCTTTGTGTTTCCGATGTCGATAGAGGCCGATTTTTTTTCCAGGAATTATACTACCGCAAGGAATGTAAGCACAGGAAGTATAAAAGCTTGCGAAGAAAATTCTGCACACACTCCCCCCACCTCGCCCCACACCACAAACCTACACTTGAGATGACACGACCCTCAGAGATACTAAAATAACTTCTGTCACGCAGCAAACACACTTTCCAAGTTAGAAAAGTAGCAAGGCGGGAATCTGGCTGGGAGGTGCACTGGGTAGTAAACACTGCAGCCAGAAAAACATAACAAGCGATTCAGAGCAAACAAGCAAGTCCCCACGGGGGCTCCAACTGGGACACCTTAATCCCAAGTCCACATCCCTGTGTGGTGGACGAGATGAAGTGTGGAAGGTGGAACGCGAGAAAGAAAAAAGAAAGAGAGAGAGAGAGAGAGTAGAGGGCAAAGTGGATTGTGTTTTTCTCTTCTGTCCCTGTGCTAGCATTCCTGCAGGCTGAGCACCGGCTGGGTGCCATGTCCAGCAGCAGCAGTCCTATACCGACGTCCCGCCGGCTCAGGTACCTGCTTAAAAGACCTGAATGCATCAGCCTGCTTCTCCTGAAACACGGCCCTGTCTCTTTCCAGCTCCCGCACCCACGGCCTAGTCTGCGCCCCCTTACATCTTTTTCAACTCATGCACTTGATTTCCTCCAGGTTCCTACTTTCCCTGCATCACACCGCTGACATGCTTGTGATTAATTCGACAGAAACGCTCTGACCCTCATTTCCGTTCATCTACCCCGATCTTTGCAGCCAAATCCCATGCCAGTTTTCATCTGATCAGGATCCTCGTTCTCACCTACTTATTCCTACTTCCTGGCTATTACTTCTGCCTTTTCCAATGCCAAGCTTCTAGTCCCTCTCTTTGGGAAGGAAGCCCTCGGGTCTTCACACACCAACTTCGGTACTCCTCCACTTTCTCTCCCGTTCCTGGCTCTTTGCTCTAGGCTCCGCTAGGCTACCTTTCCCTCAGGATTCTGCTGCCCCCTCCTTGCCACGCCCTGTGCCCCCCGGGGCTACTTACCCCAAGTTCTCCCCACACTTCAGGCCTCTGGCCCCGCCTTCCACCCCCCCCTGCCCAGGAAGGAGGGCGGGAGGAGGGAGAGCAGAGGGGCGTCCCTCCCAAAGGCAAAAGCCAGCTCCCATTAGCGCTCATCGCTGCCAATCCCGGCCTCCTGCTCTCTCATTGGCCGGGCTTCGCCTCTGCCCCACCCTCTTCCTCAGACAGGGCCCGGCCACCGCCTCAGCGCCCCCGTCCAACACGGACAGGGAGGGGAGACCCCGGCCCGGGACGCTGTGACTGGCCAGAGCTGAGGGGAAAGACTCCCGTCCGATCACGGACTTTGCTAACGTTCACAGGACTCACCCGCTGGTAGCTCCGACGCCTCCCGCCCGCCCGCGCTCGCTCCCACAATCTGTCTCCAGCTCCTTCTTTTCCCCCCCTCAGCGGAGCAGCTACTTTCCTCCCGTCCGGCCAGGCGCGCGCGCCTCTCGCGAGAAGTAAGGGGGTGGGGGGGTGGAGGGAGGAAGGGCGAGCTCCGTGGGGGCCGGGGGCGGGGCTTGCGGTGGGCGGGGCTGGCTGGCGAGGCTGAGCGAGTTCTGTACACACAGGCTGCACGTGTTCGGCTGTGCAAGCTAGAGGGGCGAAGAAACGAAAGGGGAGGCGAGGGAATCCTGACAGCTGCGTGTCGTGGTGGAGCAGATACTCTAGGAGCATGAGATTGTAGTCAGAGGGAGGGACACTTTTTAGAAAACGAAACAAAATGATAACCTTGATTTAAAAAATAATAAGGTGGGGGAAGTTTAGGGAGGAACTGAGGCAGCTACAATGGGGAAATTCGGGGGTCCCACGCAGGTGAGTGGTTGTGGCTCTGTGTGTCATTATAGGGTGTGAGGGAGTGAGGGTGGTGTAGGTCAGGGTTCGAGCACAGGAAATAATTACTTTAAAAAAAAAAAAAAACATGCCGTCTGCCAAAGTCATCCCTGTCCTTAACAGGTGGAATAACTTAATACCAGAGTATCCCCCAGAAGAGTTGTACTGAGCCAGACATGTGGAACTGCTAGCGGATTGGAAGACATTATGTATTATATTTTTTGTTGGCTCAGTAATTACTTTCACAAAATGTAACAGGACTTAGTATGTGCCAAGGCTTTGGTGGAGAACACATGGGGAGGCCCCAGCTCTGGGAGAATGTGTGTTATAGGGGAGGGAGGAAATAATCCCTAATCCAACCAACACCCCCCCCAAAAAATCAGACAGTAAACACTGCTTCAGGATAATGAGACAAGTGACTAGGGGTAGCAAAGAAACTGTTTGTTCCTTTTGTTCAAACCATGAGTTCTGTAGATTTGAGAAGAAACATCAAATGTGAAGGATGCTAGTTGGAGTTCGAATGTTCCACTACTGTCTCCCTGCTACTGTACCTCCACAGTACTCGCTGAACAGGTAGTGGTTTTTCCCTAGAGAACAAAGGTGAAGCAGAGGTGTACAATAGCGTGCATTCTTGTGAATTCAGAAAACCTGAGGAGTCTTGCTACCCACAAGCTCACCCCTAAAGCAATTCCTACTTGAAAAAAAGACAGCGGCAAGGTCTGAATGTCAGTTTGGGTCTGGGCCACTCCTCTTCTGATCCAGCTCCCTGCTAAGGCTCCCAGAAAAGCACCGAAAGATGGCCCACGTATGTGGGCTTCTGCCACTCTAATGGGAGAACCTGATGGAGTTTCAGACTCCTGGCTTCAGCCTGGCCTGTGGAAGCCATTTGGGGAGTGAACTAGCAGATGGAAGACTTTTCTATCCCTCACTCTTTCTGCCTGTCAAATAAATAAAACTTAAAGGAAACGCAGTGTTTGAAACAGATTTCCAATACATAGGGGAAAAAATGTATGGTAGCCTAGCAGCTAAAGTCCTCATCTTGCGAACACCAGGATCCCACATGGCACTGGTTCTAATCCCAGCAGCTCCACTTCCCATCCAGCTCGCTGCTTGTGGCCTAGGAAAGCAGTCGAGGATGACCCAAAGCCTTGGGACCCTGCACCCACGTGGAGACCCGGAAGAGGCTCCTGGTTCCTCTTGTGGAGCCAGCTGCTTGTGACCAGCTCAACTCTTGTGGCCTCTTGAAGAGTGAATCAACGGACAGAAGATCTTTATTTCTGCTCTCTGTATATCTGACATTCCAATAAAAATAAATAAAATATTTTTAAAATAATAAAAAAGCCAGCATTATAAATCAAAAGAGAAGGGATTCTACAAATTGTGTTGAAGCAATTGCCTATTATTCTATACATGTAGTAACTAACATTTTTAGTTCTTAGAGGTGCTAAGCACTATTCTAAGTGCTTCTATATGTATTAATTCATTTTTCCCCAGGGTCATATTCCAAACCCGGTCTCTCCCTTGAACTGCAGGCTCATGTTTCCTGCTTGACAAATCTACCATGCTATCTAATAGACATTTCAATTTTACCATGTCTAATTCAGAATTTCCCCTTTTTCTTCCACATGCCCCTTTCCTAGTCTTCCCCATCTTAGTAAGATACTTTCATTATTCCATTTGTGTTTTTAAAATTAAGACATACCTCACATGTGAAACTCATCTTTAAATAGTGTATGTATTCAGTGTTTTTAGTATATTCACAAAATTATGCAACAATTACCACTTTCTAATTCCAGGATATTCTCATCACCGAAGAAGAAACCCTGTATAGTTGCTCTTAAGTTAGCCAGCAGCTGAGAATGTCATCTCTGTGTCTCTCATGTGTGCAGCAGGGCCACAGTCACTTGAACCATTCCCTGCTGACACCTGCAGGAGGCTGGGATTGGGACTAGAGCTGGGGCTGTCATCCAGGCTCTCTGAAATGGGCTGTGGATACCTCATGTGCTGTATCAAGTGTCCACCCCCTCAGTCTACGTATGTCTTTGAATCTGTAGTCTGGGTAGACGGCTTATGGTTTTATCATGTTTTTTTGGTTTTTGTCATTTTTTAAATCCATGTGCCAACCTCTGCTTTCAGAGATCATTTTCATATTGTGTAATTACTGATAAGATAGTATTTATACCTGCCATTTTACACTTGTTCTCCATGTCTTTTTCCCCATTACTGTTGTCTTTTGTGTTAAATAGATGTTTCTAGTGCACCATTTTAATTATCTTGAGATTGCAATAAATATCTTAATTTACAGTACTCCAGTTTAGACTAACAGCAGCTTAATTTTAATGGTATATGAAGGCTGTTAATATACAGTTTTGTTTCTCCCTTTTTCCTTTGTACTCTTATCATCATATAAATCACATATTTCTACAATGTATTGCTTTTAACATAGACTTCTAATTATTATTTTCTACAGTTGTCTTTTAAACATGGTAGGAGAAAAAGTTATAGACAAAATTACATGATAACATCTTTATACATACCTTTATAGTTAACTTTATTGCTCTTCATATCTTCGTGTGGATTATAATCACTACCCAGCAGCCTTTCATTCCAGCAAGAAAGGTTACCTTTGGCATTTCTTGTTTGCTTATTTGTTTATTATCTCCATTTTATTGAAAGGCTGAGAGACAGCCTTTCAGAGCATGTGAGAAAAATCTTTCATTCACTGGTGCATTCTCTGAAAACCCACAACAGACAGGGCTGGGCCAGGCTGAAGCCAGAGGCCAGGAGCTCCTTCTGCATATTCCGTACTCATGGCAGAAACATGGGTACTTGTGCCATCATTTGCTGCTTCCCAGGGTACTCATTTTGGGTGTGCATTTGGCTTGGTGGTTACTACACCAGACCCACTGGGGTATCTCCTGGGTAGCAGGGACCCAAGCCGTTGAGCAGTCCAGTCTTCCTTGGCTGTCTCAGTGCATTAATGGAGACCCAGATCCGAAGCAGAGCAGCCAGGACTCGAACATACAGTTTGATATGGGATGTTGACACACGTAGCCATGGTTTAACATGCTGTTAAAATCCATGCTCCCCAAATATATTTTAAGCGGCTAGCTTTGGGTCAGGTAAACTGGGGCATCAGGTGAAACTGCTGCATTCTGTATCAGGGTACCTAGGTTACAGTGTCACCCTGATCCAGGTTCTTGCTAACGTGCACCTTGGGAAGCAGCATGGTGGCTCAAGTGCTCTGATCTCTGTCACCCATGTGGAAGACTGACGGAATTCCTGGCCTACTGCTTTGGCTTGGCCTAGCCCTGACCATTGCAGGCATGGAAGGTATGTCCCTCTGTCACGTTGTCTTTCAAAGAAATAAACTTAAAAGATTTAAAAAGTCATTAAGAGCAAAATTTGGACTTTCTTTGGGAAAGATTTTTATTGACTGATTTTCCCCTGTATACACTTATTATTTTATTTGCATATTTCATAGTTTTTATTGAAATCTAGACTTTTAAAAAAATAATGTAATGTAGGCCCAACACGATGGCTTGCAAGTGCCAGGATACCATATGGGTGCTAATTTGTGTCCCAGCTGCTTCACTTCCCATCCAGCTCCCTGCTTGTGACCTGGAAAAGCGGTAGAGGACGGACTAAAGCTTTGGGACCCTGCACCTGTGAGGGAGACCCAGAAGAAGTTCCTGGCTCTTGGCTTTGGATTGGCTCAACTCTGACTGTTGCAGACTCTTGGGGAGTGAAACAGGGAGTGGAAGATCTTTCTCTGTGTCTCTCCTTTTCTCTGTATATCTGCCTTTCCAATAAATAAATAAATAAATCTTTTAAAAAACAGCATAATGTGAAGGGTAAAAGGTGTTAATTTGCCTCCTGTGGCATCTGCATCCTGAATGCTGGGTTTGAGTCTTGAACCTTTCATGTGCAGTGCAGCTTCCTGCTAATGCGCACACTGGGAGAGAGCAGATGATGACTTGTGTGCTTGCGCCTCAGCCACCCACAGAGGACACCCAGATGGAACTCCAGACTCTTAGCTTCAGCAAGGCTCAGCCCTGTCTTTTACAGTTATTTAGGGATTGAACAAGTGGATGCGCAATCTCACTGTCTCACCCCCCTGTCTCCCTTTCTTTTTTCCTTTTAAGTAAAGTAAAAATAAATAGATAAGGGCCCAACATGGTAGCCTAGTGGCTAAAGTCCTTGCCTTGCATGCGCCGGGATCACATGTGCGCACCAGTTCTAATCTGGGCAAACCTGCTTCCCATCCAGCTCCCTGCTTGTGGCCTGGGAGAGTAGTGGAGGACAGCCCAAAGCTTTGGGACCCCGCACATACATGGGAGACTTGGAAGAGGCTCCTGGCTCCTGGCTTTGGATCAGTGCAACTCCAACCATTGCAGCCACTTGGGGAATCATTGGCTGGAAGATGTTCCTGTCTGTCTCTCTTGCTCTCTGTATATCTGACTTTCCAATAAAAATAAATAAGTCTTTAAATAAACAAATGCTCTAAAATATCTTAAAATAAATAAAAAGATAAAAATTTAAAAAATATTTATAATGGAGGCAGATGTTGTGGCACAGTGGGT